AAGTTTGATATTGCCGTTGGAGTGCGCGCCCATGCGCGCCCAAGATTGATATTGCTTGAGAGTGCGCGCCTATGCGCGCCCAAGCTAGATATTGTTGTTGGAGTACGCGCCCGTKTGCGCCCAGGCCAGATATTGYTGTTGGAGTACACGCCCGTGTGCGCCCAGGCCAGATATTACTGTTAGAGTGTGCGCCCGTGTGTGCCCCGGGMCAGAAATAGTTATTTAAGTGCGTGCCYGTGTGCACTTGCGCTGGATATATGTGYGCCCAGGCTAGATGTTGTCGTTTGAGTGCGCGCCCATRTGCCCTTGCGCTGGATATTGTCATTTGAGTACGCGCCTATGTGCGCCCAGGCTGGGTATTGTCATTTGAGTKSSCGCCYGTRTGCGCTCSARCCTATGATTATTATGAGATGAYTTGCCTCCACGCAYCCGTTGATTTATCCYTTTGCTGATCARCAACACCTCATGCACATGATATTTTCCCTYRCACGGGGAGCATTGGCGGTTMAGTCCCTGCACAGATGACCTGGCTCAGTCTAGCCCAGTACATTCAGCATTTGTGACTGGTCCYTGTGCATGAGATGTATCACTGATCAGTTGCTGTTCARCCKGGCCCCTTCAGACGGGTCCACTTTTYGAGATTGAGTTGCTGATTCAGCCGGGCCCCTTCAGGTGGGTCCGCTTTTCGAGATTGTAGCAGTGTTCAGCCAGGCCCTTCAGGCGGGCATACTTGAGATCAGTTGCTGTTCAGCCAGGCCCTTCAGGCGGGCATACTTGAGATTAGTTGTTGTTCAGCCAGGCCCTTCAGGCGGGCATACTTGACATTAGTTGCTGTTCARCCAGCCCCTTCAGGCAGGCCCACTTTTCGAGATTGTAGCAGTTTTCAGCCAGGCCCTTCAGGTGGGCCCTTTCTTCTGAGACAGCTGCTGTTCAGCCGGGCCCATTCAGGCGGGCTTAATATTGAGTTGCTGTTCAGGCGGGCCCTATATCGAGTTGCTGTTCAGGCGGGCCCATTCAGGCGGGCCCATTCAGGCGGGCCCTATATCGAGTTGCAGTGCACTCAGGCCATTCAGACATGCCTCCACATCGAGTTGCTGATTGCTATCCGACCAGGTCTTGGAGGGAGTATCTGCACTAGTGAGAGCGTGCATTCCATCCAAGCTGGCCCGACGTCGTGAGACTAACCCTAAGTGGGGTAGATTGACTGAGAGGTTCTGCTACAGACATGCGGGACATCAGAGTTTCACTAGCAGGGCTAATGAGTCCTCGACCTTGAGACACACGCTCGTGATCACCTACTGGGTAAAGGGGGCAGAGACGGGAGTGAAGGGCACCACATACGACAGGATTGCGGATTACATATTTCGCAGGGAGAGTTATTGGAGGGACAACTGGCTGCACGTGGTGTTCCCTCTCGTACCTTTAGCTCCTGGGGGTGTGCTCTTCGATTTTGATGGATGCAACCCCAAGCCCCTTAGTGAGTCTCGCAGCAACGACAAGAGGCGGAAGGATGACCGGATTAGGAGAGAGATAGGCTGATCCGGGGTCCCAATCACTACATGCGTCCAAAGATCAGAGACGGACGAGTCGGACTTGGAGCCTTGCTCTRTGAGTGACGTTGATCTTGGCGATTATTTCGACTGGGACACTCACAGAGATTGAGTTTGTGGACAGCGACAGGAGCGCTGGAGACCAGTGAGCGGAGACGTCGGAGGGCGACATTGAGRAGGATCGCACATCTKCTTGCACGGTATCTTCTTGAGGGTGATTGACTCCTACATGTYAGACGACCTTGGGTCTGAGACARTTATTGGTCCGCCAAGAGGGGAGGGTCCGGTCCCATACCTCGGAGATGGTTATAGTTATTTGGTCGGGACAGACTTTGCTATGCAGGCTTATTGAAAGCCTCTTTACGGAGATCGCTTTCTCGAGGTTTCCTACATTTACTCTGGTGGGAGAGGACGTATTGAGATATTGATTGGAGCTTCAGGCGATATCATCCTTGCGGAGAAGCTTTATCTCAGGAGCGTCGCAGACGAGGAGATGGCCAGATGCATGGCCTATATCTGCAAGATTGATCCAGCAGCGCCTCTCGAGATCAGCTATGTGGTTCCAGAGTCTATAGCCACACGAGTTCTCAATGACGAGGAGTCCCAGACGACAGCGCTCACTCACAAGGGGGTACCGCTTATTATCATTGATTGAGGTTCTCTTTTTTCAGTCACTATGATGTATTACAACATTATTATTTATTAGTGACTGCAACCCTCCAATAGCTGCTCCCTGCATACTTTTTGTACTACTCTTCAGTCTCGTTTCTCTGGTCATGCTCTTGCAGAGTCTGGTTTCTGGTCTTCTCATGTTGTAAGTGTCAAGTGCTCTATGATGTATGATGCATGTTTGTTATTTTCCTCCTTATTTTATAAAGGTTACACTCAAGGCAGCTTGAAGGACTCCTGAATGATAGGGACTCTGCTGACCTTGAGTCTATCCTTTATACGGGGTCAGGTGCAGGCGATAAACCCGAACGCCTCACTCTAAGTCGTGTCGCCGCTGGCAGGAGGGATAACCCTGACTACTCCGCTGTATGATAAAGTGTGACTGCCTCTGAACACACCTCTATCTTTATACCTATCAAAATTCCTACGTGACAGCCTGCCAGTCCTCCAACCCACCGAGCTCGGTCCGGGGAAGGATATCTCATCGGACCCTTGAAACGGTGGGGGCACGACAGCGGTACTACTCCTGTTGGCGGCTTGGCTAAGTTTGTAAACTCTTCCAGTAGCTTGGCAATAGCCGGGTCTATAGATTTCTCGTCCTTAGGCTCAGTCACTGGCCTAACATAGGCTATAAAGACCTGTTCCTCTAGTTGCTCCTTCCTCACTAATCTTGCGAACGCAGGAGCGTTAAGGCAGCAATGTGCCAGGGAGTTATCTACTCCTGACACATGAAACAAACGGGCAGTCTTGACTCCGCCTGACGGACTAGGGAACCTACACTCGTGCTCTCTCAAATGAAGTGTGACCCCAACTGCCTCTCCCCAGTCCATCCCTAGGACTATATCAAAAGGAAGGCTGTCCTCTACGAGGAGAGTCAGGGAATGGAGAACTTTCTCCAGTTTCCCATCTTTCTCTAGGCGAAAGTATGCCTGGACTCCCTCTACATAATCCTCTACTCGCATTGTGCGGTTGTCTGCGAGGATACTCACTGTGGGGTCTGCTAACTTTTAGGCCTTCAGCCCCAACTTCAGCTTTTGCAGCGCCTTTCTACTTATGTAGCTGCGCGTGGCCCCACTATCTACTAGGGCCCCTACTCTACCTCTGAAAACCTCTACGTCTACTAAAACCAGTTGTCCTCTACTCTTCTTCTTCATCTTGGCCCAGACGGGCATTCTCTCCTTCAACTCATCGGCCACACCTGTGAGGGAAGTGCCTAGAGAGACTCTAACACAAGCAGTCTCTGGACAGCTATCTAGGCACCGGCCTGCAACCTCTGCCATAGGCTCATGTGGTGTGGGAGTGTCCTGCCGGCTCGCGCTGATTTTCCCACATGGCCTTATGGTAGGGGCAGTTGCTACCCCCACCGGCGACTGCCTTTTGATCCCTGGGCAGCCCTTCGGGCCTCTCTGTACTTTGGACAGTATTTGATGATGTGGCCAGGGTCACCGCAATAAATGCACTGCCCCTGGTCCACACGCTGTTGCCAGATGCGCTGGTCCAGGCCCAAGTCCTCCCAAGGCCTGCCCTGTGGCAGACCTGGGTGCCAACCACTTCTCCTATAGGGCGACCTATTCCCTGAACGGTTTTGCGGGGGACCTTGACTCCTTCCCCCCACTTGGCGGTTTCCTCCTCTACCACCAAAACCCCTGATTGCCCTGGGAACGGCCCCCTGAGGCCCGACCCCCTTGGCCCTGGCCTCTACCTCCTCCTTGCGGCCTCCCTCTGACCACGACAGCAGCGTAAGTCCTCCCCTGGCTAGCGCCACTGTCTTCGTCCTCTAGTCCCCACTCAATCTGCCCATAGGGGACTTCGTCGACACTACCTTCATCCAACGTAAGGATCAAACGATCCTTGGTCTTAACCTGTCCGGAGATAGTGCGACCCTTCCACTTTTTCCCCTTGTCCAGGTCCTTATGCCAAAAAGTGGAGACTGGCATGGACCTTGCTTCAAACGCCACCACTTCCCTGCTCAATGCGTCATAGGTCATGGTGGGCTGCTGGCTCTTCTCGAAGAAGTGCCCGCGCAACGACTTGGGCATAGCTCCGTAGAAGAGGTTGACCAATTGGGTCTCTGTGACCTTGTGGTCAGGGACTGCAACTAACTCGTCCATAACGCCTTTGAGTGCCTTGGCACTCTTCCACTGACGAGAGTGGATGGTTTGCAGCCTATTGGAGGCTTTGACGCTGCGCAAAACGCCTGCAAATCGTTCGCGCAATAGTTTAAGGAAATCAACAAGGGGGGTAAACGCAGAATAAGCGACTAGATCGTCATTGCAATTAGCAGCGCGGACCAGGGAACGGGCGAAACTGGCGGCTTCTTCCTTCAGGGCGTGTATAGCTATTAGAACATGCTCATCTGGGGAGACCTTTTGCAGATGCACGTAGGTCTTAACATTGGCCTCCCAATTGTCAAAGTTTTCCTCCTTCTTCCCACTGTAGGAATCGGGGAATTTGACTTTGACAGGCTCCCTACGGGGACGTGCTTCCTCCTCTTTGGGAGCGGTTAGTCTGGCGCCCTCTATGGCACCCGTGCAATAGCGCTTTGTGCTATCTAGGCGGGCCTTCACTTCGTAGCCCACATGTGTCGCCAGTTCCCGCGCGAAATCTCTGAGACCCAATCGTATAGAACGCACGGCGATGTCTTGACTTCTACCAAATAGAAATTGTTCTTCCTGGACTAGTGCTTGGCGCTCTATGTTCCTCGCCATAATTTCCACCTTCCCTAGTAAATCCACCTGCGTCGCCATTTGATCTCTCTGCTTCTTTATCTCCTCCAATTCCCTCGCCGCCTGACTCGCCGCCTCCATCCTTCTTTTCCTATCCCTTGTCAGACAAAACTTCCACTCCATCCTTTTCTCATCTTTCAAAACCTGCCGCTTGAGTGGGTCTTCTTCAGCATCCCACTCTTTCATGGCCTCCTCCTGTTCTTCCCTGGGCACATACATTAAGGCGCAGCTATGGCGGACTTCTTCTTCAAAGGTGGTGCACTTCAGCTATGGCGCCCACGCGTCTCTCTCCTGCTACAACGGCGATGCGGATGGAGTAGCGGGTACCAGCTCCGATACCAATGCAATCAGACTCGCAATCATTCACACTTCGCATGCATACAAACGGATGGTAAATCACACTGGCGCTTCGCGCCCAACTCAAAGCTCGAAGATATGGAAACCAAGAACACAGTTCAGTTGCATACTCGCTTCAACAGGCTATGGTGCATCAGCACCTACACACCACAACTCTCGTCACTGTGTCCCACACCGCTGTTCGCTTCACACCTGAACTCCGGATCACCCTGGATACCCCAAGCACACACACTGCACACATACACATACACACCTATCACTAACCTACGGCAGCTGTGGCTGCCAGCTAACACTAATCTATAAGCAGCTATGGCTGCGCTAACTCCCTTCAGTCCGACTTCAGGCTCCTCTGCAGACCACCTCGCACAAGTCACTGTGGCAGCGCTTCTGCATGGCTTCCGCAGGAATGAATGAATGGCTGTGCGCTGCCTCTTGATTTATACTTCTGTAACTCGTTGGTCTGCCCCTTTCCATCGGCCCATGGTACACACAGTCCCCCATGGTACTTGCTGGACTGGACTGGGACTGACTGGACCGTACCGCTGACTGCATGGGGACGCACTGCTAACCTACCACTATCGTACTGCGAACGTACTGCCGTTCGTCCACCACTTGCCCACTTGCCCATTTGCCCACTTGCCCACTTGCCCACTTGCCCACTTGCCCACTTGCCTCAGTCTAAAACGTGAGCAAGCTGCGAAAGGCCACTTCCGGACCTTCCGGAAGTCTGTGGACTTGGCCTTTCGGGACTGTAGCAGCTACGACCTTGACCTCTCAGGACTGTAGCAGCTACGACTTTGACCCTTCAAGACATCTACAGCTATGGCTTCTGGAACTCTCTAAGACCTCTACTCGACAGGTCTACAGATCGAATCCCTATGTCCACACAGTCCTACGACAGACAAACAACAACTCACGAAACACAGGTCACGGGTTCAAACACTCAAGGGTCAATTCGATACTGTACATGGGTGAGGTAAGGTCTGGGGATCAAACCCTGGGATCTGCATCTGCCTCTGCAAAGGTGAAAACCGTTTCACTTAGGAGGAACCACAGAGACAAAAGAAAAAAGGAGGACCCAAACTTAGAACGTAAAAATTCATATTCATTTCACCAAAGTGCGAGGCCACTGCCTCTAAGAGCCCCACAAGGCCCCATTTTTGTAGCCCGTCGGCCGCCCTAAGTGAAGGCAGGCTCGACGAGGCCCTCAGGGCCCTTTTCTGGCCACCACGCAGCTCAAGGAAATTCAGGCAGTTGCGCAGCGCCAGCTGGTTGAAGGAACCCAGGCCCTGGGCCGCCTGTGTGAATGAATGTGAAGCAGGCCTTGGGCTGGATACAGGTACCGGGCCAAACACAGGCCGAAAGCAGTTCGGCACAAGCAACCACTTCAGGCCCAAGGCCTGCTCCTCTCGTGCTGGGCCGCAGGCTACCGGGGCCTACTGGAAGCTTCCTGGACTGGACGCAGGCAGGCCACTTCGATATAGGGAAGGGCTTGCCTCCTCATTCGGCATTCGGGTGCTGGCTGCATGCTGTGCAAGCGCTGCTGCTGCACTATTTGCTGGCTGGCGCCTACGCTCTCACGGGCGAGCAGGGAAGGAGCACGCAGCCATAGCCGAGCTGTGCTGCTGTAAGCTGGGTGAAGCGCAGGGTGGTCCTTGGGTGCTAGTGGCATCTGTGAGTTGGGGAACGAGGTTGTGAGTGTAGCGCGAGGGTGCTAGTGGCATCTGTGAGTTGGGGAACGAGGTTGTGAGTGTAGCGCGAGACATACCTGGTGCTGAAGCGTGCGACATTGGTCGCCATATGCTCGTACTTCGGGAATGCTGTTGATGTCATCTTTCGGCTTCGTAGTATAGGCTAGATAGGATCTGCCACATGTAGTCTGGGCGCCGAGCGCCAGATAGGATATCAACTCTGGTTCTTCGTTGATGATGTATGGGACTACTTCAGAATTGTCAATTATGAACTCTTGGTGTGTACTTATTTGGTGTCTCTCGTGATGCAATTCTGCTGTTGGTTCGAGGTCAAGACCATCTGGACTCATATGTATGATGTTGTTTGATTGCTGGAGTCCGCTATTGCTCATCTTCCTTGCAATTTGGTATCGGAGCTGTGGTACGATTGCGCTCATCTGGCGCTTGTCTTCTGCCTTATGCGGTACATACATGTGGTGTGCTGGGCGAGTTTGGCCGTAAGTGGTGTGTAGTGAGGAGTGTGGAGACGAGTGTAAGGCGACCCAGGAGGTGAGGGGAATCGCCAGGAAGGCTATGTGAGGTGAATGTGGTCTGGACTCTGGACAGTGTGATGAGAACTATCTAATGTGCGATTGATGCTGAGGTGGAACGGTGGATAATGCTGGTTGTGCCGATGCAGTGACTGGTCATTGCAATCGCCATTTGGTCATCTGGTGAGATTATCTCTGTGGTTGGGGCAGCTAAATGAGGTATGTTGCTCTTGACCTTATCTTCCCTCTCCAACACTTCTTACCGTGTCGTTGTGTGTTCCTTCTTGAGAGTCCTCTCATTGTGAGGTGTCGAGTGCGCTCAACCTTGAGAGTCGGCAATGTTCACGTGGAGCATCTGGGTGGAGATGGGAGGAGCTTTCTGAAGGGCCCTGGACGAAGCACTGGGCCACGGTCACCATGCCAACCCACAGGGAGTATAGCACGGATGCCTAAGCTGCTTGTCCTTTGTTCGGCTTGCTGCGTTGTTAGATGGGTACTACTGGGCAGGCCAGCCCTACAGGAAAGACGAGCACCCAGCGTCTATAAATAAACACGGGAAAGGGAACCATTGACTGTGATCGTCGTCCGACTGCGTCAATGGAGTCACTTGGGGGCGGACGTTAAATTGCCCCTGGATCGGTCAATGGTTGGAAGGCTCACGGCACGCCGAGGATAAAAATACGTGCAAGGCTGGCCGGTTAAGTGGATACTCGGGGCACAAGGGTGGCCGGACACCCACCTTTAGACACGCATCGCTCTCCAGATTGCTCAGGGACGCTGACGTCAAGTGATATTTAGGGGAATTAAGCGAAGGGTTGATTCCAGGTGATAAGTTCGAGAAAATGCCATGCTGTCCTATCCACACAACTGATTTTATTTTTATGGTTTTGATTAGTTAGATGTACTGCCATTGACATATGACAGACAACATTAGTTAAAACTGTTGATTGTTCCTGGTGCTTCTGTTTGCGGACTAATCATACTAAAAATAGTTTCAGTTGTAGGAATCTGACATACGTGTTGACCTCAAATGATATCTGTTCCAAAATAGCCACCAGCTAATTAGTTGGACTGTGCACTATGTTACGGTAGACATCCAATGTGATCTAGTGTAGACAGTGCACAGCGCTGTAGCCTATGAGCGACGAGGAGGACACCGAATAGGACGACCGCAGGATCTTGCAATCAGCTAGAGGCCCGATATCCCACGTGTCTTTAGGACCGGAGGGTGATAGACATCTGTTCCGCGAGCTTAGGGAGAGGCGGCAACAGCAGAGGAAGGCTAGAGCAGCCGAGGCCAGTAGAACTTTAGTTAGCGAGGCCGGTGCTACAGCAGCCATGTCCACTTCTACGCAGCAGACTTCCCAAGCTAGTTCAGGTGTCGTCGGGTCAACAGTCGCGCAGACCGTGAGTCAGTCCACTGGCTTTATGGCAAGCCGGACCGCGGTGTTGACTCCAGAGGATGTCGCCATCCAGCAGGCAGCCCTGCAGGAAGCACAGCTACAGCGGGCATTAGGAGAGATAAAAGCGGAAAAGGAAAAGATGATCAGAAGAAGAGCCAGGATGCAGCGGAGAGGGGCAGATATAGAGGAGTTAGAATTGATGGACCTGACGCATATGAATGCTGATGTGAAGGTAGTAAGGAGGGCCCTGCTAGGCGTTATAGAGATGCAGGAGCACCAAACTACAATCCTTCAGGACATTCAACAGAGCCTAGCCGTTTTGGCAGGCCGTGCGCCGTCTGCACCATCACCAGCCGGGCCTGGTGCCTGGCCCGTGCCGTATCCTCCTTTTTCTATCCCACTGGTGACAAGGGTATCCCCATATGTAGCCCCTTCATCGGTTGCTATCGTTTCCCTGGGCATGCCACTGTCAGGAGGGGTAACAACATGGAGTAGTGTGCAGGTTCCTGTACAGACAGTGTTTACTCAAAGTCCGTTGCAGGTTGCAGTCACCACGCAGCCTGCTGTCTCGCAGCCTGTGCAGCCTCAGGACACGCAGCCCCAGCAGCTAGCACAGCAACCTGTATCACCGGGTCCACAGCCCGGAATGGTGCAGGGACCGGGACAGACCCAGTGGGTTCCAAAGACGGCCATCGCCGCTCCCAAACCTTTTACAGGGGACACGAGAGGCGAAGACCTTGACACATGGTTGAGGTCAGTGTCGGTCTACGTCAGGTGTAAACTCACCTTGCCGCACGAAGAAGTGCTTGTGGCTGCTTCCTACCTAGAGGGTAGTCCAGAAAGATGGTTGAGCAGTTTAGTGCAGCTCCACGGATATGGTCATGACTTCTGCGCGTGGGCAGCCACCCAGAAATTGGATGAGTTCCTGAAGATGGTGGAGGAGAGGTGGCACGATCCTCAGGAGGCCCAAAGGGCCACTGACGCGATCCTGACACTGCACACGCGGCAGTTTAAGTCAGTAAGGGAAGCCACGGACGCTGTTGAGCGTTTGATCTGTGTCGCTGGGGTGCGCTATGACCCCCAGGTCCTGTTGACTTCGTACCTGAGATGCTTTTCTCAGCCTCTCAGGAACCAGTTGGCAAAAGAGGCCAACATCAATATGCACAACTTCCCTTCGTTTAGCAAGGTGGCCCTAGACCTTGAAGCTAAGATAGGGCATGGACAGGCACCCAGTACGGACGGGAGAAAGAAGACACTGCCTCCCAACTGGAAGGCGAAAGGTCGCTTGATGTTTGTCGACAACGATGGTTCAACCATCGAGGTGGACGACAACTTTCAGGAGGGAGTAGGTTCAGAGGCAGGCAGCATAGATGCTTTAGAGGGTGGAGTAGTCGCTGTCGTATCTCAAAAAGGTAAGGCGACCGGTAGACGCCGCGGAGGCTCCCGGTCCAAGAGTCAAGTTGACCCCAATGCGCCGATCTATTTGAAGAGCCGACAGGGGTTGTCGAGAGGGAGGTCGTCCACACGATAGAGATTATCCCAGGGTCTAGTATTCCGAAGGGTATGATCTATCGGATATCTCCAGGCGAGCTTGATGAGCTTCGCCGACAACTCAAGGAACTCGTAGAGAAGGGGTGGATCTGGCCGAGTGTCTCTCCTTATGGGTCTCCAGTTCTATTCGTGCCTAAGAAGAAGGAGGGTACTCTTAGGATGTGCATTGACTATAGGGGCCTCAATGCCATCACTGTAAAGAACAGAGAGCCCCTACCGCGCATCGACGATTTGCTAGATAGAGTGCAAGGGTGTCGGTACTTCAGTAAGATAGATCTGAAGTCCGGGTACCATCAGATTGCAATCCGGCCCGAGGATCAACACAAAACCGCCTTTCAGACCAGGTACGGTCTGTACGAGTTTGTGGTGATGCCTTTTGGCCTTTGCAATGCTTCTGGCACCTTTCAGCACGCTATGAATCGGATATTCCATGACTACTTAGATAAGTTTATCATCGTGTACCTCGATGACATACTTATTTTTAGTAAGACTGTCGAGGAGCACGTTGCACATTTGGACAAAGTCCTCAGCCTCCTGCGACAACACAAGTTCAAGATCAACGGTGAGAAGTGCGAGTTTGGCCGCACCCGTGTCTTGTACTTGGGTCATGAGATCTCCGCGGAAGGGTTGAAGCCCGATGACGCGAAGGTGGCCAGCATTCGTGATTGGCCACGTCCTCAGTCTGTGACTGAGATGAGATCTTTCTTAGGGATGACAAGCTACTACAGAACTTTTGTAAAGAACTATAGCATGGTGGCCGCTCCTTTGACTGATCTGACCCGCCTTGACACCCCGTGGGAGTGGACAGATGAGTGCGAGGCTGCTTTCAGACATCTGAAGCATGCGTTGACGCACTATGAGGTCTTGAAACTTCCTGATCCTGACAAGCCTTTCATAGTCACTACGGATGCCAGCCAATATGGCATTGACGCCGTAATCGCGCAGCTGGAGGGGCCAAAGTTGAGGCCAGTTGAGTACATGTCCAAGAACATGTCGTCTCAGAAGTTGGCTAAGTCCACTTATGAGAAGGAACTCTATGCGGTGTACAAGGCGCTSACCCATTGGAGACACTATCTCCTTGGGAGGTTCTTCATCCTCAGGACTGATCATCAGACCTTGAGATGGATGAGAACCCAACCGGTACTCTGTGACGCTCTCAAGCATTGGATCGAAGTCATTGAGCAATATGACTTTGACCCTCAGTATCTCAAAGGGGAGTACAACAAGGTTGCTGATGCCTTGTCGCGCAGACCGGACTTCTCAGGGGCACTGATTACTGAGTTCGATCTGACGGACAATGTTACTCAGTTTCTGGTGGAAGCCTATCGCGAGGACCAGTTTATGTCTGAGATCATACACAGACTTGAGGGGAAGGACAAGAAGACTTCCGCCGAGTTTGAGTTGGTCAATGGCTTGCTGTTCCTGGAGAAGGCAGGGAATAAACGTTTGTGTGTTCCAAAAAGCGAGTCTTTGCGTAGTTTGTTTCTAGGTGAATGTCATGATGCCACCGGTCATTTTGGGTATAAGAAGACCGCAGCCAACTTGCTGCAGCGGCTCTGGTGGCCCACAATGATGAGAGATGCTCATCTGTATGTGGAGACTTGTCAAGTGTGTCAACGAGACAAGCCACGTACTCAGGCTCCTCTTGGGCTTTTGAAGCCCCTTCCGATTCCGGAACGGCCTGGTGAGAGTCTGTCCATGGATTTCATGGATACTCTGATCACCAGCAAGAGTGGGATGCGGCACATCTTCCTCATCGTGGATAGATTTAGTAAGTATGCTAGGTTAGTAGCCATGCCAGAAACAGCAAGAACGGAGTACGTTATCCGAATGTTCAAAGAAAATTGGGTTAGAGACTTTGGTTTACCCAAGTCTATTGTCAGTGACAGGGATATCAGGTTTACTAGTGAGATGTGGACGGCTGCTGCTGCAGAGCAGGGCACTCAGTTGTAAATGACTTCTGGGAATCACCCAGAGGCCAACGGCCAGGCCGAACAACTGAACCGCGCGGTACAACACCTGTTGAGGCATTACATCAAGCCCAACAAGGTGGACTGGAATGAGAAGCTTGCTCTCATCGCAAGTCTGTATAACAATGCGGTACACAGCGCCACTGGGGTGAACCCGAACAGTCTACTACTGACTTTCAAGCCTAGACAACCTCTTGACTTTCTCCTACCTGAGAATGAATCAACTGCTGCACCGGGTACGTTAGAGTTTGCCTATAGATACGAACAGAGAATGCAGCAGGCGGTAGAGCAGATACAGAAGGCACAGGCAGCGATGATAGAGTCCGAAAACAGACACCACCGGCCTTCTACATTTCAGGTTGGGGATAGAGTCTGGGTTAAGTCTTCAGAACTGGGACAGGAGTACGGGATATCCCGCAAACTCATGCCTCAGTACTTTGGACCTTGGGAAGTCTTGGACATCGTCGGGACAGATCCGGATGGGCCATCATATGTTATCTGGATTCCTGGTCATCTTCGTACTTACCCTGTCTTTCACGCCTCCAAGTTGGCACCTTTCAAAGAAACTGACCAGTTCCCATCTCGTCGCTCAATGCTGCCCCCAACCATGGACGGAGAGGTGGACATTGATGATATTGTGGATCACCGAGAGCTACCGGTATCAAGACCAGCAGGCAGGGGACGTCCTCCAAAACCGAAGCTGCAGTACCACGTTCGGTTCCGGCATCACACTGATCCAAAGGAGGACCAATGGTTCACCAGGGAGGAACTGATGCAGACCGCTCCTGAAGTTGTGACTCAATACGAGAGATCTCTGCAGAAAGGAAAGCGCCCTATGATCGAAGATTAAGCTTCTCGGAGAACTGTTGAAGCTAAGGAGGAGGTAATGCGAGGCCACTGCCTCTAAGAGCCCCACAAGGTCCCATTTTTGCAGCCCGTCGGCCGCCCTAAGTGAAGGCAGGCTCGATGAGGCCCTCAGGGCCCTTTTCTGGCCACCACGCAGCTCAAGGAAATTCAGGCAGTTGCGCAGCGCCAGTTGGTTGAATGAACCCAGGCCCTGGGCTGCCTGTGTGAATGAATGTGAAGCAGGCCTTGGGCTGGATACGGGTACCGGGCCAAACACAGGCCGAAAGCAGTTCGACACAAGCAACCACTTCAGGCCCAAGGCCTGCTCCTCTCGTGCTGGGCCTCAGGCTACCGGGGCCTACTGGAAGCTTCCTGGACTGGACGCAGGCAGGCCACTTCGATATAGGGAAGGGCCTGCCTCCTCATTCGGCATTCGGGTGCTGGCTGCATGCTGCGCAAGCGCTGCTGCTGCGCTATTTGCTGGCTGGCGCCTACGCTCTCACGGGCGAGCAGGGAAGGAGCNGACCTTCCGGAAGTCTGTGGACTTGGCCTTTCGGGACTGTAGCAGCTACGACCTTGACCTCTCAGGACTGTAGCAGCTACGACTTTGACCCTTCAAGACATCTACAGCTATGGCTTCTGGAACTCTCTAAGACCTCTACTCGACAGGTCTACAGATCGAATCCCTATGTCCACACAGTCCTACGACAGACAAACAACAACTCACGAAACACAGGTCACGGGTTCAAACACTCAAGGGTCAATTCGATACTGTACATGGGTGAGGTAAGGTCTGGGGATCAAACCCTGGGATCTGCATCTGCCTCTGCAAAGGTGAAAACCGTTTCACTTAGGAGGAACCACAGAGACAAAAGAAAAAAGGAGGACCCAAACTTAGAACGTAAAAATTCATATTCATTTCACCAAAGTGCGAGGCCACTGCCTCTAAGAGCCCCACAAGGCCCCATTTTTGTAGCCCGTCGGCCGCCCTAAGTGAAGGCAGGCTCGACGAGGCCCTCAGGGCCCTTTTCTGGCCACCACGCAGCTCAAGGAAATTCAGGCAGTTGCGCAGCGCCAGCTGGTTGAAGGAACCCAGGCCCTGGGCCGCCTGTGTGAATGAATGTGAAGCAGGCCTTGGGCTGGATACAGGTACCGGGCCAAACACAGGCCGAAAGCAGTTCGGCACAAGCAACCACTTCAGGCCCAAGGCCTGCTCCTCTCGTGCTGGGCCGCAGGCTACCGGGGCCTACTGGAAGCTTCCTGGACTGGACGCAGGCAGGCCACTTCGATATAGGGAAGGGCTTGCCTCCTCATTCGGCATTCGGGTGCTGGCTGCATGCTGTGCAAGCGCTGCTGCTGCACTATTTGCTGGCTGGCGCCTACGCTCTCACGGGCGAGCAGGGAAGGAGCACGCAGCCATAGCCGAGCTGTGCTGCTGTAAGCTGGGTGAAGCGCAGGGTGGTCCTTGGGTGCTAGTGGCATCTGTGAGTTGGGGAACGAGGTTGTGAGTGTAGCGCGAGGGTGCTAGTGGCATCTGTGAGTTGGGGAACGAGGTTGTGAGTGTAGCGCGAGACATACCTGGTGCTGAAGCGTGCGACATTGGTCGCCATATGCTCGTACTTCGGGAATGCTGTTGATGTCATCTTTCGGCTTCGTAGTATAGGCTAGATAGGATCTGCCACATGTAGTCTGGGCGCCGAGCGCCAGATAGGATATCAACTCTGGTTCTTCGTTGATGATGTATGGGACTACTTCAGAATTGTCAATTATGAACTCTTGGTGTGTTCTTATTTGGTGTATCTCGTGATGCAATTCTGCTGTTGGTTCAAGGTCAAGACTATCTGGACTCATATGTATGATGCTGTTTGATTGCTGGAGTTCGCTATTGCTCATCTTCCTTGCAAAAGGTTCAGCAAAGGTGAAGTCCTTACCCCTTACCACGGAGAGTTTCATTGAGACTGTGCCAGACGTATTTTGCTTCTCCAACAATATTGCTTCAACAATAGTGAGAAGAGCTTTTCAAAGCATTTGTTTCTTTTTTTTTTTTTTTTTTTTTTTTTTTTTTTTTTTTTAAATACAGAACCTTATAGTTCTGGCTCCTTATCCATTCTGGGGAGCGTCAGTCTGGTTCCTATTCTGCCGGCAAGTCCAGAAGAAGTACATATAGTACTCACACACGCTCCTCCCCTTTACGGTAGGTAAACCCGAGGGACGGCATTGATTACTTCCCGCCGGAAGGATGTACCACCTCTCACGCCTGCCTAAGTTAGCCTGAATACTTTAATTTTGACTCATGGAACCAAACCCAGTAGTGTGGACCCTGTCGGCTTGCTTCAGGGAGGTCTCATTTAACCTGTTCCTCTCAGTTTTTGACTGTCAGATTGCCTTCTGACTCTAGGATACTACGTCCTTGTGACAGCTGCAATAGTTTAGAGGAGTACACAAGGCTAGTAAAAGCAAGTACTGTGATTAGAGGTAAGGAATGTAAGGGATTAAGATAGGCTTAACAAGGGTTATAGCACAGATGAGTACACAAGGCTAGAGAAAGAAAGTAGTGTGGTACAAGTAGGAAGTAAGGGGTTAGGATGTACCCAGAGACTTTCGGCTGGTGTTTCATGACTGGACCACTGTAGATCCATCTATCCCGCTGCGCCCCCCATCGGAATTCCCAGACCCATTTCCCCCCCCTGCTCTAGCTCTGGTCCCTTTGAGTTGGTATGGTCAAGATGGATAGGATAATACCTGACTGGGTTTTCCCTGCTCACTGTTTCTAGGATGCCTTCTTTGGATTGCTACAGGTGGCTACAACTAAGTGCTTAAGCAGAAGGTTTTTGAAAAAGCAAGTAGTTCAGTCAACCTTTTTCCAATTTTGGATAACCAAATTAGTACCAGAACTGATCAGAGAAGATCTGGCGCCACTGAGATGAGGGTGAAGAGGTACAAGGGACACTGGGCCCGTTTCCCAGTAATCGTGATCACAGTTGTTCAGAACTATATGTCAAGGGACGCTGGACCCGTTTTTCAGCAGGTGCAGCTCCCCACCAATAGATGGAGCCCACAGTGAAGCTGGTAGGAGTGTATGCTCTTATCATCACTCCTAACAGCAGTCATGAGATGGAATTAAAAAAAAAAAAAGGAAGTAAGGGGTTATAATGGGAACATCAACAGACAAAGTAACTAGACCAGATAGGGTTTAGGGTTTATCATAGCATTTGTTTCGTTTTACTCTATAATTCATTTTGGATTTCTTACTCCGTTAAAATCTGTCACGACGTGGAGTTTTCTCAACTGCACGGTGCAGGTGGAAAAGGTCCATGGAAGACAGGGTCTGACAGACCCAGCGTCCCAAGCGAATTGAATATGATATCTAAAAGGTGGGAAATAGTGAGCATTGGTTGCCCTAGGCAGAGCCCTACCAGGGATTAACTTCTAACATTCCTTGGAAACGGAAATATGTTCACTGCAGTCAAAGGCATTGCTGAAAAAATCAGTGCGCAGGCCCCTTTATCACCCACCTTCTCTGATGCCAGATTTACAACCAGAACGTAGCTATGCAGTTTGTCCAGACCATGATAAATCCACCAAACACCGTCGGGATATAGAGCTTGCACAAGGGCTCTTTTTGCAAAAAAAAAAAAAAAAAAAAAAAAAAAGAGTTGGCTGGAGGCGGAAAAGGCTCAGGGAACTCCTCCACTTGTCTCACAGAAAAGGAAGTGTCTACCTTAGACCAATCGTTGAAGTTCAGAGTTCAGACGGATCCCTTTCTTATTCTCACCTCGATAATTTCCCCCCTTGGAAAGCCCCCACATCCTCCATCTGAGCACTAGGGCTTCGACATTGTGGACATTCACCCGTCCAGAGGAGACCGTCACGGACTTCGGCGACAGGCATCAGCATTGGGTAGGGCTACCCAGGCCTAGTTGAAGCACTGTCATGCGAGCCCCGTTACCCGAGGTACTTCGGACGCTAGGTGTGAATCGGCCCCAGCACAACATCATGCTCCCCATCCAGGGGTTTGTACCTAAAGTCTCCCTACTTGAGCTACCACCGGCAGTGTCGAATGGTCTAACCTTTTGTATTCATCCGATTCCAACAATTCGAGCTGATGTCATGTTCACTAACAGCTACATGTCTGTATCATTCAGCCACACGGGCTGGGAAGCTTGGGGTGATGGTGGTAGTGGTGGTGGTGGTGAGGGTGTTTGGGGGGGGCTCTCTCCCCCCCCACCTGAACAAGAAGTAGGGAGAAGTAGATCGCCCCCTTTGCAAAACCAACAGGCAAACGTGTAGTGGGCACTAAAGAAAACTTTCACACCACTTTTGCACCCCTTTCCATTGCAGGTAGGGCCTGTAAAGCCAGTAGGGGTGTCCACTGTCCAGGGTGCAAAAGTG